ATTCAATTGAATTGATTAATCATCTAAGCATCTACCATATGTCAGGCACAGAAGATACAAAGTAAACAAGTAAAAATCTCTGCTTTCAAGCAGGTTACATTCTACTGAAGAGAAATACACTATGAAGAAATTCTCTCTCTCTCTCTCTCTTTCTCTCTCTCTCTCTCTTTCTCTCGCTCTCGCTCTTGCTCTCAATATTGGGTCTAGAATTCAGCTAAACTGATAGAAGAGATTACAACTTTGTTTTGGTCTCAGTATTTTTTCCCCTACCTTTTATCTAAATTGAAAAGTGGAAGAAGCTTTGGATTGGAAAATTGGGAATAGTTAATTCCTGGTCAAATAACCATTTTATAGTTTGATCAATGATTTTCTGATCTATCCAGCCCTATCCTCTCCCTTGACCTCCAGTCTCACATTTCCAACTGACTGTTAGACATCTCAAACTAGATTTCTCATATACATCTTAAACTCAACATGTCCAAAACCAAAATCATTAGCTTTCCACCCAAGCCCTTCTATTTCCCTAACTTTGTTTTTACTTTCAAGGGCACCACTGCCTTCCCATTCTCCAAGGCTTGAAATCAAAGTGTAATCCTTGACTCCTTGCTCCTTCCCATCCCCCTTTATGTTTAATTTGTTACCAGGTGCAAACTATTCTGCTTTCATAACATCTCTTGCATACACCTCCTTCTCTCCTCTGACATTGCCACCACCCTAGGGCATGTCTATGGTAGAAAAAAGTATCTGGGCTTTAAATTCAGCAGTGCCTTTTTTCCCGTAAGGAAGAAATGACCAGGATTTCAGCTGAGTCGGAAGCTAGAGGCAGTGGAGCAGCACCAGGTAGAGACTAGGAGACCATATCCATGGCCCTGTGGCATTATACGATGGCCACGCTTATTATCTATGTGTACCCACTGGCCACATATCTTTACTAACTCCATGCTCTCCGCACACATTTGCATGCTGGTGAAACATATCCCTTGAGTGCTGACCCTACACACAAGTTCCCTATCTTTGTTCACTCTTCCCACCAATGTTGCATGGATCTATTGGAGAGTGTACTCCCAAGTTTGTGGGGGGAAATGTTTTACTGTTAATTTTCTTAGCATTCCATTTCATTAAATGTTTTTATTATCCTCTGTCTAACTGTTGAAGGTAAACATATTGGTGAGGGCTCTTAAACTGTAGTTTTAGGGGATATGGACATATAGAGTACCTTGAACCTGGGGTAGCTGATTTCTGTAGAGACACAGCCTTTGAATTGGGGAGTCGGAATAACACGTGGTTTTACATATGAAGTAAATACGAAATAATTGGATGGGGAAAGTACTGAGTATATGGAAAGAGCTCTCCTAGGAGCTAGGGCCTGAGTTAAGGGAGCTAAGAATGACAAGAGGCAGTCTTAGAAAAGACGCAGAAAGAGGACATAAATGTATATGGAAAGCAAGTGAGACAATCTGACTGGAACGTCGAATGAAAGAAATAAAGTGAAATCAGTAGACATTCAGGCCAGAGTGTCACTGAGAAGGGCTTTAAATGCTAAACAGAGGACTTGACATTTTATCCTAGAAGTAATGGTGGCATACCACTCCTATGCTCACAAAGTTCTGGTGATTAATAATGATGAGTGTGGGCAAGGACGTGATTGCAAATGTAGCGCTCCAAAAGACTGGACATCACACAGCCAATCACCTATCATCACCAACAAAGTGGGTTGGAATGGTCACATCCTCTTAATATGCCTCATCTACCTTTAAGCATTAAGATGCTTAATAATCATAATCACAATAAATAATAATGAGACAATAATGACCAAATGAGATAATGATTATAAAGTGCTTAGCACAG